TATGATGATGCCATGGCACTCTACTCAGGGCAACAGAGTGAGACTTGTGTCTCAACAAAACGAAACAAAATTTAGAAATGATTAAGCTTAGTGGGGAAGGCATGTCGAAAGCAGAGACAGGCTGAGAGCGAAGCCTCTTGTGCCATACTTTAGCCGTGTTGTAAACGCAAAGGGAACTAAAAGTCCTTCTCCAGGGAGCATGTGAATGAGAAGTAAGTGAAACAGCCTTGTTGCTGATGTGGAGAAAGTTTGACTGCTCTGGAGAGATCAAACCAGTCACAATAGTCCCTAAGCCAAAGCCTAATCCAGAGCAAGGTCCTGACTTTCTTCAATTCTGTGAAGGCTGAGAGAGAAGAGGAAGCTGCAGAAAAGTTTGAAACTGGCAGAGGTTGCCTGAGGTATAAGGAAAGAAACCCTTTCCATAACTTGAAAGTAGAAGGTGGAACAGCAAGTACTGATGTAGAAACTGCAACAAGTTATCCAGAAGATCTAGCTATGTCCCTTCATAAAGGTGGCTACATTAGACAACATTTAAATGCAACAGCCTTATATTAGAAGATGCCATGTGGGACTTCCATAGCTAGAGAGGAAATGTCAATGCTTGACTTCAAAACTTCAAAGGACAGGCTGACTGTTTTATTAGGGGCTAATTGTAGCTGGTTTAAGTTGAAGCCATTCTTCATTTTCCACTTTGAAAATGCTAGGGCCCTGCTCAGTGCCTGTAGCACAGTGGTTACGGCACCAGCCACATACACCGAGGCTGGCGAGTTTAAACCCAGCCTGAGCCTGCTAAACAACAATGACAACTGCAACAAAAAAATAGCCAGGTGTTGTGGCAGGTACCTGTAGTCCCAGCTACTTGGGAGGCTGAGACAAAAGAATCCCTTAAGCCCAGGAGTTTGAGGTTGCTGTGAGCTGTGACGCCACAGCACTCTACCAAGTGCGACATAGTAAAACTCTGCCTCAAAAAAAAGAAAAGAAAAAGAAAATCCTAGGGCCCTTAATAGTTATGCTAAATCTACTTTGCCTATGCTCTATAAATGTAATGACCAGGCCTAGATGACAGCACACATGTTCACAACACAATTTATTGAATAGTTTAAATTCACTGTTGAGTCCTACTGCTCAGAAAAAAAGATTCCTTTCAAAATGTTACTACTCATTGACAGTGCTCCCTAGTCACTAAGAGTTCTTTTTTTTTTTGTCCTTGGTAGAATACCATGGCATCATAACTCACAGCAACTTTAAACTCTTGGGCTCAAGCAATTCTCTTGCCTCAACCTCTCAAGTAGCAGGGATTACAGGTGCCTGCCTGTTTTTTAGAGACAGGGGCTCACTCTTGCTCAGGCTGGTCTCAAACTCATAAGCTCAGGCAATCCACTCGCCTCAGCCTCCCAGAGTGCTAGGATTGCAGACAGGCATGAGCCACCACTCCCAACCCAAAGAGGATTTCTTGAAATCTACTCCTGGTGAAGAACCTATGAACATTGTTGAAATGACAACAAAAGATTTAGAATATTACATATACTTAGTTAATAAAACAACAGTAGAATTTGAGGCCGGAGACCAAGGTGTATAATGATGAACTGAAAGCTGTAGTGGAAGCAAATCCATCTCAACCTGTGTGTGAACTAGCAGCAAGGGTTGGTGTTACTATTGCAACAATATTGGAGCATTTGAAACAAATGAGCGAGGTAAAGAAGCTGGATAGATGGGCGGCACCTGTGGCTCAAAGGAGTAGGGCACTGGCCCCATATACCAGAGGTGGTGGGTTCAAACCTAGAAAACTAGGAAAAAAAAGGAGCTGGGTAGATGTGTTCCACATGAATTAAATGAATGTCAGAAGAAAAGTTAACTCAACTTGCCTTTCTTTGCTGTCATGACAATAAGGCGAACCATTTTTATACCATACTGTCAGTGATGAAAAATGGATACCTTTTACAATTGTAAGCATCTGGCGTATCAATGGATAAAGGTGAAGTGCTGAAACACAGTCCAAAATCAGATATTCATCAAAAAAGGCTAGTGGTGACTGTTTGCTGGTCCAGTGTTCATATTATCCACTACAGCCTTATGAAACCTGGTCAGCTGATTACAGCAGATGTCTACTGCAATCAAGTGGATGACTTGATGAAGATGCTTGCGGTTAAGCATCCCAGATTGGTCAACAGGGACAGGCCAGTCCTCTGGCAAGATAGCACTTGACCACATATTGCACAAACAATGCTGCTTGAACTACAGAAGCTGGACTTGGAAACTCTCTGTCATCCATGGTATTCACCAGACCTTGTACCGACTGACTGCTGCTGCTTCCAGGCTTTGGACCACTTCTTGCAACAAGCTGTGGAAAACACCTTTCACGATTTCATCATCACTCACTCTAGGCTTTTTATTTCTTAATTTTAATTTTTATTTTATTTTATTTTGAGACAGAGTCTCCAGCTATCACCCTGGGTAGAGTGCCGTGGTGTCACAGCTCATAGCAACTTCAAACTCTTGGGTTTAAGTGATTCTTTTGCCTCAGCCTCCCAAGCACCCACCACAATGCCTGGCTATTTTTTGGTTGTAGTTGTCAACAGTGGTTCATTGTTGTTTGGCAGGCTGGGGCTGGATTCAAACCTGCCAGCTCTGGTGTATGTGGCTGGCACCCTAGCCACTGAGCTACAGGTCCCAAGCCCACTGTAGGCTTTTTTTTTTTTTTTAAGAGATAGAATCTCACTTTATCACCCTTGGTAGAGTGCTGTGGCATCACAGCTCACAGCAACTTCAAACTCCTAGGCTTAGGCGATTCTCTTGCCTCAGTCTCCTGAGTAGCTGGGACTACAGGTGCCCGCCACAATGCCCAGCTATTTTCTGTTGCAGTTTGGCTGGGGCTGGGTTCAAACCTGCCACCCTCAGTGTATGGGGCCAGTGCCCTACCCACTGAGCCACAGGCGCTGCCCCCACTGTAGGCTTTTTAGGGGCTGGCATAGACAAGCTACCATTAAGATAGCAAAACTGTGTTGATAGTTTTAAGTGCTTGCTTTGGTTAATTGTATTTTTGCTTCTTTTTTTTTGGCGAGGGCAGACAGGATCTCACTCTGTTGCCCAGGCTAGAGTGCCATGGCATAGCCTAACTCAGTGTAGCCTCAAACTCCTGGGGTCAAGCAATCCTTTTGCCTTAGCCTCCAGAGTAACTGGGACTACCGGTGCCTACCACACCACCTGGCTACTTTTTCTATGTTTAGTAGAGACAAGGGTATCGGTTTTACTCAAGCTGGTCTTGCATTCTTGAGTTCAAGAGATCCTCTTGCCTTAGCTGTCCAGAGTGTTAGGGTTACAGGCTTGAGCCACCACTTTTTATTTTTATTTTGACATTGACAAAAGATACAGGAGGAGTTGACTTGGCTAGTCGGATAAGAAAACTTTCTCACTGTAATTTTATTAACAATTATACTTGAATGACATTATCTCATTTAATTCCTGTAGGTAAGTGATAGTGTCCCTATTTTACAAATGAGGAAATGGAATGTAGACAAATAAAGTCACTTGTCTAAAGGCACATGACTAATAAGTGGCAAACCCAGGACCGTGACTCTAGAGCCTGGGTGTGTAACCAGTAGATGCTTCCTCATCCTAGCCATGTCACAGAGGGTATTGATGGTTTTGAGGAGTTTTAAGAACTTACCTTTTTTTGTATTAGGGCTGGTGCAAAATCAAGTACTCACAGGTGATTTTTACAGTTTGAAAATAGCAGAATAGACAGCATTTCTTGTCCTATCTGAAGTGTCATTTATGAAAAAGATGTGTGGCACTGCTCCTGTAGTACAGTGGTTAGGGCGCCAGCATCATACACCCAGGGTGGCAGGTTTGAAACCAGCCTGGGTCAGCTGAAAATAAAAAAGTAAAAAGATACGCATGAATGCAAGTATGTGCAGTGAGTTTACTATGAAAGATTTGTTGAGAATAAAGAGGGACCCAGGTGGTTCTTTAAACATTTTAACTGCAGCAACAGATATGGGCCATGAAGGGACACCCTGAAGCAGGGAACAAGGAGCACTGAGGGGCATTGGGAATATTTGCCAGACTGCCTAGAGCAGTGGTCCACACCTTTTTGGCCCTAGGGGCTGGTTTCATGGAAGACGTTTTCCATAGCCTGGGCTGGGGGATTCTGTGCTCGGCTCCTACGAGGCCCTGCAAGGCAGGTCTGGGGATTGAGAGATTGCTAATGCAGATGTAGAGGGACAGGGTTTTTATAAACTTCAGTGAAGATGTGATAGGATTTTTGTTCTCTTTTTAATTTTCAAGGGAAGAACTTATTTTTTCATTTTATTTTCTCAGGTCTGCCCAGAACAACATGACAAAGGCAGTAGATGCATTTAGTGAGTATTTTCTGTACCTGAAATGTGGGAACTGTTCAGAACAGCCTCAGCATTTGCCTTTCCTCTGTCCCTGAAATTTGTCTTGATGACCCCCAGGTTTGCATTTTTCTAGGAAGACTGCCCTGAAATATAGTATCCTCTTCACAGACAGCTCCCTAACATGGAGAGATGTGAGGGATGGATAAGAGACTCCCTTTCTGAGCAGGTGTGTGAGGGAGGCGGGAGGAGGCTGCAGGGCACTCAGGTTCTCTGTGGAGTTGGGAATCCCCTGGGAATTTTCCCCGGGGGGGGAAAGTGAGAGCAGATTGCTGGCCACTCCGCAGAGCAGGATGGCAGCCCCGGGGCTCAGTAGCTGTAAGAGCAGCTGAGCCTCGTCCGTAAAGTGTTCTTCCTGGCCAGGAGCTCTGTCCACTCTTGGTTTTACTTCATGGAATTCTCACCACCATCCTATGAGTACCTGTCATTGTGTCAAATATACGGAAAACTGAGGCTTAGAGAAATAGTTTACCCAAGGTCAGCCAACTAGTAGGGGACTGATCTGGGACTCGAGCCAGTGAGTCTCAGTATGGACATCTGTGGTTCCGTCAGAAACAGGTCACTATGGTTCGCAGTCCCAGCCAGTTCTCTTTGCTTCTGCCTGGACTCTTGCAGCTGCTCTGTTTCCCCAGAAGGGAATCTGCCTGAGGCAGTTACTCTCCCACAGGGAGCAGCCTTTGGGGGCCACTTCCAGTAAGTCTGTGTAGGCCACTGGGCCTTATTGATGTAGTGGCCTGTGAGTACTTACAATTAGCTTTGGGCTGGAGTGCACTTCTGTTTTTTTCAGAGTCTCACTCTGTCACCTTAGGGTAGGGTGCTGTGGCATCATAGCTCACAGCAACCTCAAACTCTTGGGCTCAAATGATCCTCTTGCCTCAGCCTTCCGAGTAGCTAGGACTATAGGCGCCCTCCATAACACCTCACTATTTTTAGAGATGGGGTCTTGCTCTTGTTCTGGCTGGTCTTGAGCTCAGGCAATCTGCCTGCTTTGGCCTCCCAGAGTGCTAGGATTACAGGTATGAGCCACCATGCCTGGCCCTGGAGTGCAAATTCTTGATCTAATCTGCTGTGGCCTGGCCTGGATCTAACCCTGTCTCTAAAAATAGCCAGGTATGTGGCAGGCGCCTGTAGTCCCATCTACTCCCAAGGCTGAGGTAAGAGGATCGGTTGAACCCGATAGTTTGATGTTGCTGTGAGCTGACACAAAGCATGCCAATTCTTGGCCTGGAACTTCTATAGTCTCTTTTTTTAGAAAGGGCCTATGGATATGGCAGTTTGAGTCTTGCATACATAGTGTGTTTTCAGGAATACGTTCATAATTATAAATAGGGCTTACATCATCATTATAAGGGCTACACCCTGACTCCCCTAGCGAGACGGGACATTACCTGTCAAAGATATCTGGCTTTTAGCTCTGCAGGTCTAGAAACCTATCAGAAGACCCATTATTTATCATAGGGGGCTGAGGGGAAAAGGACTCAAGCAAAACGCATAAGAATTGTGATTTAACAGTTTATGATGGTGCTTAATATCTTTAATGAGCCCTTTCAAGGATATGCCCTTTTCGTTTTCATGGTCTGGAAAGCCACACTGGTTTAGTTGGTGAGCTTGGTGAGCACAGGAAGAAAGGAAGAACGGCAGGGCTGTAAGGAACCTGTCTAGGATAGATTTAATTCATACCTTGTGCATTTTTTTTTTGACAGAGCTTTAAGCTGTCACCTTGGGTAGAGTGCTGTGGCATCACAGCTCATAGCAACCTCCAACTCTTGGATATAAGCAATTCTCTTGCCTTAGCCTCCCAAGTAGCTGGGACTACAGATGCCCACCACAATGCCCAGCTATTTTTGAGGGGAGGGGGATGAGGATTACAGTTGTCATTGCTGTTTGGCAGGCCCAGTTTGGATTCGAACCTGCCAGTTCTGGTATATATGGCTGGCTCCTTAGCCACTTGAGCTACAGGTGCTGAGCCTACCCTGTGTATTTTCAATCTGAAACTTTAGCTTCTGTCACAAAGTATCTGTTTACTGGTGTTATTGACAAGGGGTGTTTGGGTTGAATTTTTGATTAATGTCAATTAAGTGCTCTTACATTTTTTTTCTTTACAGAAAAGTCTTTTAAGTTATGCACCACCAAGGAGATGCTCCTTCTTAGTGTTACAACTGCTTACACAGGTAATGGCATTGCTGATTGAGTTTTCTGTTGCTGCATAATAGCAAGAAGGGCTGAAAACAATAGTCATGTTATTATTTCTCACAGTTCTATGCATTGACTGGCCTCAGCTAGTTGTTTTTTTTTTTTAATTTGTAGAAATGTATGAGTACAAGTGCAGATTTGCTACGTGTAAGGGCTGTATGGTAGTCAAGTCAGCACTTTTCAGGTATCCATCACCCGAGTAACATACATTGTACCCGTTAGGTAATTTTTCATTGTCTACCCCTTCCCTGGATGGTTCTTCTGATGAAATCAATTGGGGTCTCTTGTCAGAGGGTAGCTGGGGCTGGGACTTCAAAAACAGTTTCATTCACATGTCTACTGCCTTGACCACAGTCAGTTAAAGGTCTTGGTCTCTGCATGTGGGCTCAGGGCTTCTGTCCATCTACGTGACCCCTTCCACAAGATCTCCTTGTGACCAGCAGCATAGCCAGATCTGTGTTAATGGCTAAAGGCTCCGTGAAAGGTGACAGGAAAAACTACCAGACTGTCTTAAGGCTTGGGCCTGGATCTCATCCAGCATCTCTTGGTGACAGCAAGTCACAGGGCCAACCCAAATCCACTGTGGGAAAAACACCAGGACACATGGCTCATCAGGACCCATGAGTTTACAGAAGCACACAATCATATGTTAATATGATAACAGGTGGAGCACCTTAGGTCTTGAGTATCATAAGGAAATTCATTCCCTTTTAAATAATGCTGTAATATGCCAGTTACTACTTCTGCATTTATATGCCTCATAGGTACAAATTCTTCTTTTTAGGAGAAATAGAATAAACATTAAACATCTTTAAAATTCACAATTAAAATTTTGTAGCATTAAGGAAGGTCCTCTACTGATTTGCCCTAATTTTTTATTCTACTTTTAGTAATTTTCTTTTCCTAGGAAGCAGGGTTTAATTAAAGCGTTCTGTGCCTCTGAGCCACAGTGGTAGCATATACTGCACAGACTGGTTTGCCGGCACAGCAAGAGCACAGTCCGGCAGGAAGAGGAATGTTCCTCTCTCCTTCGGAGCAACTCAGGAGGATAATGAGTACTTGGAGTGCTCTGCTGGAAAGTGCTGTTCATTTTGTCCTCTGTCCGTCTCCTGCCGGCATGCAGAGTGACCAGTTTCCACATTAAGGATGTCTGTTGATTTGAGTTGTATACTTTAATCTGAAGTACATGGCAAATGGCATCTTGGGGTGTCTTGGTTCTACCTGCTATAACAAATTGTCATAGACTCGGTGACAGAACAGACATTTAGGGTGTTGTTGTTGGGTTCTGGCGAGGGGTTCTTCCTGGTTTGTAGACAGCTGCCTTCTTGTGTCCTCCTGTGGCCGAGGGAACAGCTGAGGGGACCATTCTCTGGTGTCACTTTTTGTCATCTATCCTCATGACCTTTTCACCTGCCAAACGCCTCATCTCCAGGTGCCCTCATGCTTTGGAGGTGAAGGTTTCAACACATATGGACTTGGGGTGTTGGGGGGCACAGACATTTAATCTGTAGCCCGTGGCTAATTCCATTTCATCTGTTACAGAGCATCACTTTGTGCTCTGCTTAGGGATTAACATTTTGTTCTCTCTGAGTTCATTTTCTCTGTGCTTTATGTGTATATACCTCAAATACTACTAGACGTGAAGAAAGATGAGGAAAGGGGGAATGTGAATGTATAGTTAAGTTAAATCTGATTTTTTTCTCCCAAAGGTCTGGAATTGACTTTCTTCTCTGGTGTGTATGGAACCTGCATTGGTGCTACAAACAAGTTTGGAGCAGAAGAGAAAAGCCTTATCGGGCTTTCTGGCATCTTTATTGGCATTGGAGAAATTTTAGGTTGGTTTTAAAAAAAGGTATTTGCATTAAACGTGGCAGTGTTTATCGTAGTTAAAATAGAAATTTTAAGGTTACTTCACCTCTCTGTCCTTGAATTTCTGTTTTTTTCTACTTATTTTACCCAAGTGGGTATGTTTCTGTTTTTCTATTGTTACTACTCTAACTAAATTATAAACCATTTGTCAAATCATTCACAGATAAAAACCATAAATAAGCAAACATACAGTCTCTCCCAGCTTCTCCTCTTAAAATACTTAAGGGGTGCACCTGGCAATTCCTCTCTTTCTGGTTCTCTGGCACCAGCTAAGTGTCCAGCAGTCAGTCTTCTTCTGTTAGCATCAGGCTCCATCGGTTGAAGGATTCAGTTCTACAGGTTGCCCTCACTTCAGACTTTTAAAAAAAATAATAATTTCAGGGTGGCCCCTGTGGCTCAAAGGAGTAGGGTGCCAGCCCCATATGCCTGAGGTGGTGGGTTCAAACCCAGCCCTGGCCAAAAACTGCAAAAAAATAATAATTATAATAATTTCAAATTTGTCTGAAATTTCAAAAATACAAATAGTACGAAGAACACCTGAATATCCTTTAACAAGATTCTCCTACAGTTAACTTTTTTTACCTTCTTTACTTTATCATTCTCTTTCTCATATATGATTTTATTTCCTGAACCACATGAGGGTAAGTTTCACACATCATGGCATTTACTCCCATATGCTTCAGCGTGTACTTCCTACGCATAAGATATTCTCTGGCATTGCACAGTACATAGTACATAGTGGAATTTTACGTTGATGTGATCATCTGCTGTCATCTAATTCCTTTATACATCTTTTTCCTCTTCCAGCATATGTTTTATTCTAGGATCAACAATTGCATTTCATTGTTGTGTCTTTTCTGCTAATCTGGAATATCTCTACAGTTTTTCTTTTTGATACTGACATTTTTGTGAATAACCCCTTTGCAAAATAGTATGTTCTACTGGGCTTGGTGGTTCACACCTGTAATCCCAGGTAGGAAGCTGAGGTGGGAGAATGGCTTGAGCTTGGGACTTTGAGGTTATAGTGAACTATGATTAGGCCACTGCACTGCAGTCTTCATGACTGATTGAGACCACACGTCAAAGTATGTTCTTTGTTTTGTGCATGTTTGACGTGACTGAGTGGAAGTTGTACATTCTCATCAGGAGTGTTGCCATAGTGATGGATGGAGGGTCCATTTTAGGATGTCCCGTGTGAGGACACAGGGAGCACATCTGTTTCTCACAGTGGTAAATTTTTTTTTGGGGGGGGGCAGTGTTAATTTTGATCACCTGGTCAAAGTGTTGCCCATTTTCTCCGTTTTTATTTTCTCCCTTGCAACTGATAGGCATTCTGTGGGGAGTCACTTTGAGACAATGCGAATATCTCACTTCTCCTCGAAATTCCCTCCTAGATTTAGCCTCCATTGATCTTTTTTATTTTTATTTAAAAAATTTTTTTGAGCTAGAGTCTTACTCTGTTGTCTTGGATAGAGTGCTGTCATAGCTCACAACAACCTCAAACTCCTAGATTCAAGTGATCCTCCTGCCTCAGCCTCCTGAGTATCTAGGACCACAGGTGCCTGCCACCGTGCCCACTAGTTTTTCTATTTTTAGTAGAGGCGGGGTCTTAATCTTGCTCAGGCTGATCTCAAACTCCAGAGCTTGGGTGAACCACTGCTTTGCCTCCCAGAGTGCTAGGATTATAGGTGTGAGCCACCACACCTTGCTCATTGATGGTTCTTGCCTAACCAAGTCTTTGCTATGTGTCTTAGTCTGCTTTCTGCGGCTGTAACAGAATACCACAAACTGGGTAATTTATATAAAGAGAAGAAATTCATTTAGCTCACAGTCCTGGAAGCTGGGATGGTGCAGGCATCTGGTGAGGGCCTTCTTGCTGTGTCACAGTATACTCAGGGCAGAGGGCAGTAGTGTGTAAGTGAGCACAGGTCTCTCTTCCTATCAAGCCATCAGTCCCATCGTAAGGACCCATCCCAAGACCTTACTTGATCTTAATTACCTCCCAAAGCCCCACCTCCAATTAGCATATGAATTTGGGGATTGTGTTTCCAACACATGAAATCTGGAGGATACATTCAGACCAGAGTCCATGATAGCTGTATAAGTGCAGACTTACCACCTCTAGTGCTCTGTGTGCAGGTGACCCTGGTCTACTGCAGGCAGAAGACCTCCCTTCTCCCCTATTTATTTACTTTATTTACTTATTTTTTATTGGTATAGGCCCACAAATTTATTTTCCCCCTAGTGGTTCATTATTCATTACTGCACTTAATTATTTTGGTGCTCACATTGTGCCATTGTCCCTGCGTTGGCCTTTTCAAGCAGCCTTGTATGCTCTTGTGACATGCTTCCATTATTTTCTGAGCACTGCTTTACTTTCTGGCAAACAGGTGTTTCCTGGCTCACTTCATGTTAAACCTGCCCTCATCCTGGAATCAGCCATATTTTGTTCCTGTGCTCCTTGAAAGTCTTAACAGAGTAACATTCATCTGGTCACAGTTAATCTAGAGTGAACTGACAACTTGATGATTCTGAGACATCTTTTTTTTTTGGTAGAGGCAGAATCTCACTTTATCACCCTCCATAGAGTGCTGTGGCATCACAGCTCACAGCAACCTCCAACTCCTGGGCTTAGGCAATTCTCTTGCCTTAGTCTCCCAAGTAGCTGGCACTACAGGTGCCCACCACAACACCCGGCTATTTTTTGTTGTTGCAGTTTGGCCAGGGCCGGATTTGAACCTGTCACCCGTGGTATATGGGGCTGGCACCCTACCCACTGAGCCACAGGCACTGCCCAATTCTGAGACATCTTGACCAAGAACAAGGGCTGTCTATCCATTTGTCCGTGTCCCCTTTTATGGTTTTGGGGAGTGTTTTGTGATTTTCTTTATATAGATTTTGAACGTTTCATTTCCTGTTAAGCTTATTCTATTGATTCTATTCTATTCTATTGATTGTGTGATCTATTTCTTTTGTATCTGTTGTAAATGGGGTTTTCTCCATTATATTTGCTAAGGGGTTATTACATCTATGGAGGCTGTTGATTTTACATGTTGAATTTTATATCCTGATACCTTACTGCTTTTTAGATTTGTCTTTTTATCACTGGGTTTGAGGAATTTTATGATGTATCTTGATAGAGTTTGCTTTATGTTTTTTGTGTTACATGTTCGTTGAGCTGCTTTGCTGTTTGGGTTTATAGTTTTTAGTCAACTTTGGAAACATTTTGACCAGTATTTCTTCTGTATTTTTTCTGTCCTGCCTCTTTTTTCTTCACATTTTCCAATTACAAGTTGAAGTGGTCTGACAACCCGCTGAGCCTTTGTTGATTTTTAAAATTCTCTTTTTCTACCTTTGTTTCATTGCGGGTATTTTGGATTGCCGTTGATCCTTGAACAACTTGGATTTGAACTGCAAAGGTCCACTTATATGTGGATTCTTTTTCCACAACATGAGGGTGGAAAATATAGTATTCATGGGATCTGAAACCTAAGTATATAGAGGGCTGTTCTGTTGTGGGGATTGTGGGACTCAAGTGTGTGCAGCCTGGGGTGTATGTGGAGGTCTCTGTACTGAGGGACGTCTGTAGTTCACTAATCCTTTCTTCTACAACGGGACTCTGCTGTTACTCCTATCCAGGGTATCTGTTTTTCATTCCAGACATTGTGGTTTTCATTTCTGTACACTCTTGGGTCCTTTTTTGTATTTTTCATGTTTCTACTTAACTTTTTGAACATGTAGAATACAGTTACCGTAATCATCTTAATGTCTTGCTCATTCCAACATCTGTGATAGTCCTAGGGTAGCTTCTTTCCTTCCTTTCCTTTCCTTTCTTTTTCTCCTTTCTTCCTTTCCTTTATTTTTCTTTTCTTTTTTCTTTTACCTCACAACAGGTTTATTGAGATGAAACTCATAGGCCCCTAAATTCACCCTTTAAAGTGTACAGGTCAGTGCTTTTAGTATATTCTCATGGCTGTGTAGCTATCACCACAATGAATTTTAGAACATTTTCTTCCCTCTTAAAATAAACTTTGCACCCATTAGCAGTCGCTTCCCATTCCTTCTCTCTCTTGCCTAGGCCCAGGCAGCCACTAATCTACTTTCCCTCTCTCAAGGTTTGCTTATTATCAACAAATCATATAATGTGTAGTCTTTTGTGACTGGGTTTTTTGACTTAGTATAATGCTCTCAAGTTCATATCATAGCATGTAGCAGACTTCATTCCTTATTATCAGGGAATATTTAATTATATATATTTACCACATTTTATTTATCCATTCATCCTTTAATGGACATTTGGGTTATTTCTACTTTTTCGCCATTATGAATAATGTTACTATAAATATTTGTGTACAAGTTTTTGTGCAAACATTTTCATTTCTCTTGGGCACATTCTCAGGACTGGAATTGCTAATTATGTGATAATTCTGAGTTTGACTGATTTTTCTCTTCACGATAGGTCCTCTCTTCCAGCTTCCTTGCATGCCTGGTAATATACATACTTTATTATGAATACTGGACATTGTGACTTTTGACTTGTTGGGTGCTAGATTTCTTCTTCTTCTCCTTTGTTTTTTGTTTTTTGAGACAGACTCTCTCCCTGGCACCCTGCCTAGAGTGCCATGGTATTATCATAGCTTGTAGCAACCTCAAACTCTTGGGCTCAAATGATCCTCTTGCCTCAGCCTCCTTTGTAGCTAGAACTACAGGCGCCTGCCATGACACCCAGCTATAGTATAGTTTTTCTATTTTTTTAGTAGAGTCAGGATGTCATTCTTGCTCAGGCTGGTCTTGACTCTCTCTGGGCCTCCCAGAGTGCTAGGATTATAGGTGTGAGCCACTGTGCCCAGCCCTTGATTTCTTTTATGCCTGGAAATATTACTGAGTTTTGTTCTTATATGTAATTCATTTAATTGAAAACAGCACAATTCTTTTTTCTTTTTTGTTTTTTTTTTTTTTGAGACAGAGTCTCACTTTGTTGCCCTTGGTAGAGTGCTATGGTGTTACAGGTCACAGCAACCTCCAACTCTTGGGCTTAAGTGATTGTCTTGCCTCGGCCTCCAGGTGCTGGTCACAATGCCCAGCTATTGAAAACAGCATGATTCTTTTAGGTCCTGTTTTTAAGATTCATTGCATTGGACTGGGACAATACTCAGTCTAGGACTGATTATTCCCTACTTCTATGGGAAGACTCTTCTGTGTACTCCACCCAGTGCCCTGTGAATCATAAGTTTTCCAGTTTGCCTGGTGGGACCAGATGCTATTCCCAGCCTGGGGTGGGGCACTAATACTGCTAATCCTCTTGGCTGGTTCTTTCCCAGGCCTCTGCTCACTCACATTATGTGCTGATCAGTACTCAGCTAAAGACTCAAGGGAACCCTCTGAAGATCTCTGGACTTGTTTTTCTGTGCAGCTTTCCTTTTTGATACCCTTGTCCATAACCCCTGGCCACCCTGTCCCTCACAACTCAGGAAGGCTGTTGGGGTTCACTTTCTGTGTGCTGCAGCCTACTTTTTTTTTTTTTAAACAAGGTCTTCTCTGTCACCCAGGCTAGAGGACAGTGGTGTTGTGATAGATCACTGTAGCCTCAAACTCCTGGGCTTAAGTAATCCTTTTGCCTCAGCTTCTCTAGTAGCTGAAACTCTAGGCTCTCATCACTGTGCCAGAGTAATCTTTAATTTTTCAGGGTCTCTCTCTTGCTCAGGCTGGTCTTGAACTCCTGGCCTCAAGCAGTTCTCCAGTCTCAGCCTCCCAACGTGCTAGGATTACAGGTTGAGCCACTGTGCCTGCCCTGCAGCCTACTTTTGAGGGCAATTGCCAGACAGACTACTTCCCAGAGAGGCTGTACCAGCAAGTATAAGTAATTAAGTTTTTCTGAATCCTTGTTAGCATTTGGTGTTCTCACTACTTTTTATTTTAGCCTTTCTGCTAGATGTGTAGTGATGTCTCATTGTGATTTTAATTTTCATTTTTTTAATGGGTAATGATGTTGAGTATCTTTTCATGTGCCTAGTCCCTGTATATCTTCTTTGTTGACATAGAGGGTGCCAAAAAAATGTATATACATTTTAAGAAAGGAAAAAACTATATTAAAATTGTATCACTCAGCATATACCAGTAACAAAAGATGCACACAAGTTACATTGGGCACCT